AACACTCAGGGGCCAAGGATGAGAAGCTCCCCCTTAGGTTATCTGTTCTATTTGGATTTCATTAACCTTACTCTGGTTTACACATTTGCATTGCAGGAGGAGCTCAACTCAACAATGCTGACTCTCTACCTCTGTAAGCCTGTCCTCCTGCTCCACTGACACTACGCCAGAGGTGATGCAGATGTCAGAGGTCAGTCAGTCAGAGACATCATCACAGGAGGTGCTTCCATTTTGACAGCTGCCTTCAGCCTTTATGAAATCAAAATTCTTTTTACTTTTTTTCCTCTGGCTCACAATATAAATCCAGACAAATATTAAGATTTATGAGAAAATACACACACTCAGTGAATGACAAGGCATCTATCTTCTTGCTAAAAGAATTTGCCTTATATTAGAAGACCTAGTCTCCTAGCTATCTTAACTCACGGTGTACAACTTTGCTAACTGCAAATATTTACGCGAGGTGTCAAACCGATCAACGGCTACACGATGTACTGTTCATCCCTACCCCATTTTTACTGTGGAAGAGTTTGCACGTTCGGAGGTGGGTATCATGGAGAACACCACAACCTCATGTCTAGCTGTGTCTGAAGATCGTACCTGCTATGAAATACTGGCCAAAAACTGGGAAAACATACTTGGCTTGTGCATTCCACACATTTTAAAGTCTTCTCTGAGGACACTAAGAATGCCTGCCTTTAAAGGGCTGCTCTGCCAGGCTTTCCCAGTCCTGCATCCCCATCAACTGCAAGAAGCATCAACGACTGATTACTAGATTATAGTGTCAGACATCAAACACACCCTAATTTCAAAAATGCCAGCAAATGTGCAAAAACGTGTCTCAGAATCAAGGAGCAGTGCCTCACTCGGAGTCAGGATACGTGGGTTTATAAGGAAACATTTCATTTACCATCTGAGTCTACACCTTTCACGCATCCAAGTATATTTTACCCAATTTTAAAGATATACTATGCATGCTTAACAACTTAAAAAATATCAACTTTCATTCAGAGATCAACTCCTTCTTCATTTTTATATGAATTCGATATTATGTAAAAGAATTTACTGATCTCATTTCGTTTTCCTACTTGTGTTTCACAGATAGCAAAGAATTCCAGAGTTAAATGGGGCTCATGAGCCGTGTTTTCCAACCCCTCGTCCAGTGCTGCGGTGGCCTGGACAGTATCCCAGCGGGGCCTCGTCCAGTCTGTCTTCACACCTCCAGCTATAAGTGCCCACCGGAGCTTTACAGGCAGCTCCGCACCCATCAGGGATGGGAACGCAGAAAGTCTTTCCCATACCGACCTGTCTGAAACGCAATTCTCTGCACCGCAACAGGCGGTGTTTTTCTCTAAGGTTTTTGCCATAGGTCTTATGTGCTCACAGAGAGACAAAGACAGTGACAAGGAAAGTGAGACATTGGGGGAGTGTATGTAGTTCACTGTAATTCCCTTCTCTTTAATCCTCCTCCTGGGATGTTGGGCACACGCACACAGGCCCGGCATGAGTTTCAAGCCATCGGATCTGGGACTTGAACTGTAGTCGGTCATGTGAGAGTCCAATGCCTTAAACACTCTGCCACCTGTTGGCTGACCCCCTTATCAGGTGATTTTAAACTACCTATTACACTGAATTACATGAAATGCAGATTTTCTTTATATGCCCCGACATCTTGGCTGGCTTTAACGCCGTATCATACTAGTGAGAAATATAAATTATCATTCAAATGAATGTAATATGTGTCGAGAACATCACATAACATCAAAGTAAATACAAAGTGCTATCTTAGGTATTTTTTTGCAAATGTGTCACTTAAATACAAATATGCTTTGTGAAGTTTTCCCCTCATAAGCTAGTTTAATACTAATATTTTATATGGAGCTATCACTCTCAATTTCCCCCTACTGTGATTTATTTAACATATTCTACATGTAGCTATCATTCTTAATTTGTCTTTTCGACAAGAATCTCTTCTATGGTTACATGAGGGCAAGTTATGCTAAGCAGGTCAGAGTCTAAATGTTCTGAAGGTTTACTTTTCACATACCTGGACAATGACCCAAATGGCAAACATGCCCTTGAAGAGTGTTTTTCAAAAAGTGAAGCCTATTTGGCCACAGTGGGGTTTCTCATGTGCATTATCTGTATTATTACCCATCAAAATGTAAGAGCATCACAAAGACCCTGCTAGTTACACATACACACATGTGGTGTCCTTCCCCAGTCCCACTATGGACGGGTGACAGGGACAGCATGGAGCTGGTGCCTCAGGGCTCCACCAAACCAGGATGAACTTTGTTGTGGTCCTCTGCTGCCTCCTGCTGGTCTAGCTTAGGTTCAACAGATGTCTGGGGACTCTTTCTATTTTTATTCTTTTCTGAAACAAAATTATTTTAGTCTCTCTGACAGTGAGTGTGTGGTATATTGGTTGGCCCAACAAAAGGTATTGTATTCGTTGTCAAATAGGAATTTTTATTTTTTTTAGAGTTTTTGCTATAGGGCACGTGCACTTGCCAGAAAGACAGAGAGAGACATAGAGACAGAAAGCGAGAAATCATCCCCCGGGGGGAGGGCCACACCACAATCCCTTCTCCTCCGCTGTCCTCTCGGGATCTTGGGCATGCATACACACACACTGAGTGTGAGTTTAAGCCACCAGATCCAGGACTTGACCCGCAACTGACTACATGGGAGTCCAGCGACATAGCCATTACGCCAACTGCTGGTCCCAGTAAAATAGGGATTTTTAAAGAGACATATACCACACAGTTCCCATAACATACCTAAGGGCAGCCCTAAGTGAACATGCATGTATACATACATGCACAAGTTAACATGTTCATACATATGCACACACAGAATACACTCCTTTCTCTCTGTGGTTTTGGCTGAGATGATGATTTGGAGCTCAGAGAGCTGGTGGAGGGGAAGAATGAAGCCACCCAAAAGCATACTCCGGACTTGAGCGGGAAACAAGGACTGAGCTCCTGGAGAAGATGCTCTGGAGACACAGAGGCGAGCTGGGAGGAGCAGGAATTGCAGACACGTGGGAGAAGCTACAGGACTAGCTGCATACTGCCTGCTGGCAGCACCAGAACATGTGACTGAGGGCACTGTGCCGCTGAAAACCGACAACAGCAAAAACGAGAGGGTGAAAGAGAAGGGAGGGAGGAGGCTGGGTTCTCTGTGGGTAACAGGAAGAGAGGAAATCAACCGCGGTAGCAACAGGGCTTTGGCAGCAGCACACGACCAGCTGCCGTTCTCCGATTTAAGCCACCGAGGCAAACATGCACTCGCCGCGGAGGAGCTGCCACCTCGCCCGGCAGATCACGGTGATTATTCACGTCCTGGCCATTCGTCTTACTTCTGTTTGTTTTCTGTGTTTCCTAAATGGTTTTCTTTGGAGGTGGGGCCTTGGTCTGCTTATGAGTTTTTAAAGAGTGCTTCAAAGTCGAAACTGTGTTCAACTGATGTATTTCAACTGATAGCAAGGTAGTCTCTGTGTTACATAAACTAACCAGGCGAAGGGAGTCCAGGAGGCTTTGCCTATCACTGGGGACTGAATATCTGTTGCTAAAGAAGAAATGAAAACCGAAAATAACAAAAGTTCCCAGATTTGTTTCAAACCCTTGTCTGCAGAAACAGGGACAGCCCTGACCAGACAAGAGGTTGAAAGACCAAGCACTAAAGCCTTAATGCGTCCTTAATGTGCATCTGACAGCTCAGTGTTGAACTCAGAAGCAGCGCTGTGATGCAGTGTGTAGACCAACATCATATTGATTTAAATTTAGCCAGGATTTGATGGAGAGAACAACCCATGACATTCACCCCTGAAGGGTAGAGGACTGGGAGCCTGCTGGGTTTTGATCTCGCGGTCATCTTCCATTGAACTATTATCACTGTAAGGCGTCAGGGACACTGTCTTTACTCTTAGCCTGCATCCAAAGAGATATAAACATCACAATGAGTGGCATTCTTAAGATTAGAAATGATGGGGTGGTATTAATAACCATGTATTATAGACAGCTGAGATGAGAACAAGTGGTTGGATAAAACGATAACTAGCTATGCCATGCTTTAAGAGGAGGTGGGACACTTCGGAGAACACAACACTAACAGAAATGGGATGATTATAAATGGTCACATTAATTTTCTATGTGCTGCAAGGTTGGTATCGGTTAGGTTTGCAGCTTGAGAAACTCTTAAGAAGATGAAACACCTCAAATCCTAGAACAGCACATGATGCCTCATCCCCTCTGGTGACTGATGAAAGCAGACTGAAAACATGCTCCCATGTTTTGACAGAATCTCTACTGTGACGTTAGAAAGCCCCAAAGTTAGGAAGGCGAGATGAACAAGAGGTCTTGGTTTGCAAGTGAAGCGGCCTCGTAAGCAGACTTTGACCTGATTAAATCTTACCATTGTCTACAGAAATCCCAAGCACACTTGATATCTTTCTCACACTGAAAACACAGAAAAAGTCACTTTGTTACTGGATGCTTTTCCACACCCTCACAAATCGATTCACGGGCTTTATGTTTTCACAGCAGTGTGGGCTTAACACACACTCGGAACCGGAATGTCAGAATGTGGATGCTTGATCAATTACACGCACGGGATCAGGAGGGGAGAAAGGAATCTATCCCAGAGGTTTCTGGGAGGTGCAGGGGAAAATCAACCAGAAGTTGACGACAGGATCGCGTTTGAAAGGCTGAGAATGTTTGGTTACTGAGCCTGCCGAATTTCGTCTGGGGAAGGGGCCGGGGGCCTAGCCCTCGGAGGTTTGGTGCCGTAGTTGACCGTGCTCCACATTGTGTCACTCCCGGAGGTTGAGGACTCTCCTCCTAGGAAGGGAACCGTGCCCTGAGCTCTCCGTCCTACTTGCTTGGAGCTGGAAGAAAAATCAAGTTGGTGAAGTGCATTGGTGTGGCCCGGGGCTCTCCCCTCTGAGACGGCACGTGAGTTGGCTGGCTGTTACGATGGTATGCCATGGGACTTACTGTGGTTAAAAGTGAGAGAGTTATCCAGGCTGCCCAGCTGCTGCAATCTGGCATGCATCATTCCTGTTCTGTTACGGGAAACAGGCAAGGTCTGAGATTTTCGATCATGAACTATGGGTCCCAACCCCTCCTGGTTCCTGCAACATGAGTGAAATGGGATAGAAGCAAAAGTTAGACGTGTTACACCGCAGCGAGACGGGGAGCGTTAGTGAAGCCAGGACACGGCACGAAGGAGACAGACCACGCGCTGACCGGGCGCGGCGGAGCAGCCGGAGACACAGACGGGCAGCTCTCACAGCTCACAGCAAAGCTCCGGGCCACGCAGAAGCCAAACAAGCCAAAGCAGAGGCCTCTTCGCTTTTAGAAAATCTTTAGAGAGTGACTTTTAAAAAGTGAGCATCACTCCAATGCGGCAGTAAAGATTAGTGTTCTGACAACTGTCAAAACGTCACTCATCTCTTTACTTATGTTCTGAAAGAGCAAAACTGCATTTATGATTTTTTTAAAATTGAAAAATGCCTTGGAAGAAACAGAGAACAAACATGCAGTGGGAAGGGATTCTATGAGGCAGTCTTAGCACCTTTGTTCTTACCCAAGCAGGAAGGAGAAGAGCCACACACTTTGTTAACTTGTCAGCAGTCAAGTAGAGAAAATAGAAAAGTGATCTGGGTTAGCAATAAACGGCTAACGTCCTCCTGAGCACCATCACCAGAGAAGATGAAATGAGCCCACTGGAATGAGCCCTGTCCCCGTCCCAGAGCCAACCATGCCCTCACGGTGTTACTGTGTGCAGGGGAACAGGGACATGCACAGACTCTCCTCGGCGGCATGCGGCTGGTGATTTCAAAGGGACAACGAGAAGGCAGTGTTCAGACACCGGGCCCCCGTGGCGGGCAGACACTGACAAGGTTCACATCCTAGTTTGGGGTCGTTCCACATGCAGCAGAGACCATGGCCATGTCCGTGGAAAGCAGGCATCTCTCCACAGCGCGTGAAACAGGGACACCACGTCCACTCCCGCTTCCTCCGCCCATCCACTCTCAGCACGGTCCACAACTTTCTATGCAAGTATCTACAGGGTGTCCGTGGGGTCAGCAGATCTTCCTCCAAAAGTTACATTTATATCCGCGGAAAAAAGGAAGTCAACCAATTTCACAAAACCCAATGCTAAAATATTTCATTGGGATAGAGATCTTCAGCGTCCCACATCCACCATTTTAAGCTCTGAGGCATTTATCGAATGAAATGCCATCTCGTGAGGTACGTGACAGCAAAGGGTGTGAAGCTCCCTCAGGGCAATGCATTTCGGTTCCAAATTATATAGCATTTTCTCATTTTCAGGGGACAGAGGGAATAAGTCAAGGTGGGAGATATTACTGGGATAAGAACGCCCTGTACATACTTGCATTTGGTACTCAGAATCGCAAACACAGAAATTACTGTTGTGATAAAAAATAGCAGTTAAGGTTAGTGAACTGTCAGTGCTATCACATTTCAATTAAAAATAGAAAATATTAGGAAGAGAAAAATGCAAAATATTTTCTCAAGACTTCCTTCTTAAAAGAAGGGCACATAAAACGTAATTCTTAACATAAAATGGAATTCTGGAAAGTTCTCAAATATCCCCAAAAGAGAACAACATTAACACAAAAATAAAATCTTCACACTCAACTAGTAAGTTCACTGAAACTCTCTGTACTGTTTCACTGCTTTAAAACAGAAGTACAGCTACGTGAAACAAATCTCGATTACAACTAGATCTTAACAGCATTTCTTAAAACATTAATATAAGTTTACTCATAATTAAACTGTTAAAAAATAGCGACAGTAGAAAAATGTGGTACTTAGACAGAGACCCCATAGACACACTCCCACGGGATGGGTCACAACACAGACAGCCCAAACGCAGACGTACTAAAGGTTGCAGGGCAGGCAGGAGAGAGGACGGAGCAATGAAAGGTGTGCTTGAGCAAACAGCCACACGTAATCCACGAGTTTCTGGAAGCGCTCCTCAACTCAGGGGAGTGTGGCCCAGGACAGGGCAGTGGGCAGTGTGACACTCGATAGAGAGTTCTGGTCACTTGAAAACATGGGACACTTACGGATTAGTCATAATAAGAGGAGAAAAGGCTCCAAATCCATTTTAGATTATTGAAGTCCACAAAATGTAGACTGCAAACTTTTCATTGAAAAAGGAGAGTGATTAGATGAGAAATGAGTGTCCCTGTAGTTGGGAGTAGAGTTGTTATAGAAGACCACGGGAGGTGAAACAGAGGAAGAGAAATCAAAGGAGAAAACGCACGAAGGACAACGGGGGGTGCGGGGGGAGAAAGAGGAGATTAAAAAAAAAAAGTGGAACAACAGGCCACTGAAGAAAATCTCTCCAGGACACGTGCATGAGACAAAATAAGACAGAAGGACTGCAGGGCTGCAGACGACAGGTGCGACCAGACCCCGTGGTGGCAATCCAAAGGCCACCAACCGTCATCATGGCTGCTCTGTGACTCCCACATGCCAATCACTCGACAACCATCCCGACACATTCAGCTCCAAGCAGTACTGGAATGACTCATTCAAACGAAAGGGCACGGTACCTGGCTATGTATCGCTTCCCCATGTACTGGAACTGGTGCAGGCAGACTCTGTGGATGAGACAGAGAACGTTAACGCCCACATGCTGTTTTACTTACCCCTTACAAGAACACGCTCGGTAAGCACTGAGGTCTATCACTAGTCCTTACTCACAGTTTTCGGAGAAAACTATTAGCCTGTAATGGAGCCCTGTACTGGGAGGCTGTCGCCTCTATGGTAGCTGGTGGGGACAACATGGGACCAATGCCCACAGCCAATAAACTCGTCTATTGAGTTCAGGCTGGGAGACTTACTCCAAGGCAGTGTGCCTTGGAAACCACGCTGGAAACCTATTATACAGTTCGGATTTGCTTCTTCATCCTCATTTGAATCTATGGAAGAAACTCTATTCCAGCTCAAGTGTAGAGACTGATCCCCTATCTGTCTATCTGTTCAAGTGTGTGTGTGTGTGTGTGTGTGTGTGTTTTAAATATATTGGGTCATCAGAAAAGTCATGACATGGGTTTTCTATGCAAAAATGCATCATGACTTTTCTGATGACTCAATATATCCACATTAATTTTTTAAAAGACAAATATTTAAGAAAAGGTAGTTAAAACTACCTTTTAGTGAGTCCCTCAGGTGATGGATCCCATTTCACTACATGATCGCTCTCCTGCGACTCAGCAGAGGGAGAGACTGATCATGACCTATGAAGCGAGCCCTTCCTGGAGAGCAGGGTCCACCGTCTCATACCTGTAATTCCAAAATGCGCAAAGCCTTGAAAACTACATTTCCATTTAAATTTGGGCAAATACATTTGGCACTGCAAATTGATCTGAACATAAAGCTATTTATAGTTATATTTTACCCAGTTTTGTGATGAATAACAGTGCTATGGAAATTTATTTACTGCAGAACTAATGAGTTTGAATAAGGGAGCCTGCCTGAACCAGCATGGCTTATTATGGTACATAATTTACATATACTTTTTCAGAAATAAAAACAATTTTGATTTTTTTTGAGAGGTTTTTGCTATAGAGCACATGTGCTCACCAGACAGAGAGAGAGAGAGAGACAGAGAGACAGAAAGCAAGAAATCACCCCCTAGGGGGGATGGCCATGCCACAATCCCTTCTCCTCCGTTCTCCTCTTGGGATCTTAGGCACACACGCACACTCGCCCAGCGTGAGTTTTAAGCCATTGAGTCCGGGACGTGAACCGCGGTCTACTACGTGGGAGTCCAGCCACATAGCCATTACGCTAACTGCTGGTCCCAACAATTTTGATTTTTGGAAAATCATCTGGTTTCAGCAGGTTTGGATAAGGGGTTATATATGGATTCATGTTTCTGAAAGTGAAAAAATGAAAGGAAATAAAGAACATAACATTTAAGATATACAATGGGATAATACAGATATTGTGTACAATTTCACTTTTTGGGGGGAGAGATTTTTGCTATAGGATGTGTGTACTCACTGGAGAGACAAAGAGAGGCAGAGAGAGAGAATGGAGAACTAACCCCCCAGGGGGTGGCCACACTACAATCCCTTCTCCCCTATTCTCTTCTTGGGATTCTGAGCACACACGTATATGTACCAGGCATGAGTTTCAAGCCACCGGGTCTAGGCCTTGAACTATTGTCAGCCATGTGACAATTCAGCACCTTAAGCCCTATGCCACCTGCTGGTACCTTATCATGCATTTTTAAGTTAAAGCATTTTTTTTTCTGAGTTTCTGCATTTGGCGAAATTAGATTCAATTTAGAAAATATGCATCTATTCAATGCAGCTAATAAATCTTGTGCTATTTTATTAAAGTGACTTACATATTTAAGCAGTTAATTCTCATCTATAACAACCACATATCCACAATAATTTAAGGCTGGCCACTGTTCACAAGATCATAGTCTTGAAATCAGATGTTGGGACCAGGTTCAGGGGAAAGAGCTTGAGGAGTAAATCGGGACATCATCTATGAAACAGATAGTGTAATGGTCACGTTGTTAAGACTCCCTCTCGTGGACCTTGGTTAGAGTCCCGGATCCAGCAGCTTAAAACTCACACTGTGCGCATGTGCCCAAAACCCAAGAGAAGAGAATGGAGAAAGGACCGCGGCATGACCATCCCCACTTGTCCAATTCTGGGGACGAGGGTGTGATTTCTTGATTTTTGTTTCTCTCTCTCTGTCTCTCTGGTGAGCACACACACCCTATAGCAAAAATCTCTCTTAAAAAAAAAAGCCAAAAAAACCCCCCAAAAAATAGAGTATTATCCACACTTCTTAATTACCCAGGTAAACACGAGTGGCAATGAGCAAGAACAAAACTACTCACTCAGATATTGTAAAAAAATCCATAAGTTCAGACGTTGAAGCCTTGTTCCAATACGTGAACAAAGCATCTAGAAAATAAAGACTTGGTCAGAATCACAAGATATATTGGGTGCATTATAAAAATCACTTGTTAGGACAATGGGAAGATACCTTGGAGTGTGGGCTTCCAACCTTCCCCTGCGCCGTTACAGTGGTAAACCACAATGGCTAGTCTACACTGGATAACATACACGACAGGCTTATAGGATTTAAAGGGGCTACTTTAACTCTGACCACTCCAACTTCAATTTCCCCAAACATCATCTAGCACTATAGTACAATACAATGTTTATTTAGCTTATATATAATGAGCTCTTAAATAGAGAATTCTACAAACCCCGGTGAGCATATAATCAAAAATTGGGCTTTCTCATTTTCTACTACAGGATGCCCCTTGAACAGGGAATTTGATGAAAATTTTTGCATACTACACACACAGTTTTGCCCTTTGAGTTTCAACGAAACAACATAGCTCGGAGTTGTCGCCAACTTTTCCAAGCAGCATGATCTTCCTCTCTGTGGATGTATCACAAGGGGCCTAACCTACTGATAAACACTGCAATTTTTTTCCCTGACCTTTTGCTATAATTATGCTCTGATGAACATCCTTTGTACATGGGCCTTTGCGTGCACATCGAACTACATCTACAGGACAGATGCTCGAAGGTAAACTAACTGTATCAGATGTATGCCCACTGCAATCTCTGTATGAATCCTTAACTGTTTAGCACTACACAAAGTGCCCTAGTTTTAGGTAAACATGTCTATATTCTTATTTTTACACTGAGGTTAGGAAATATCGGAAG